TTTTTTTATTTTGAAACTTAGAATGCATATTCTTAAATAACAGAACATCGAAGTACAATCTATTTTGTATCGTAGTTTATCTTTATTTATTTGTTTAATCATTTATATTTTAACTCATGCATGAATTAAGATTTCATTTTTGCAAGTTATAAAAAATATAAGAGATTTTAGTTGACTGACATGAAAGGATTCGCAGAAAAAAAAATTGTATGATTTGGTGACCAGTAATTTTATATGTAGATAATTAACATGTGATATGTATACATAGAATCATAAGGCAGAGCGATCTTTGATAACTGTAGCAGTTCTAAGTGCTATATTCATTGTTATCGAATTCACTGGTGGTATTTTGGCTCAAAGTTTGGCAATAATGACTGATGCGGCGCATATGCTCAGTGATCTGCTTTCATTTATAATATCTATAGTAGCAATCAGATTAGCACGTTCTCAAGGTTCAGTTTTTGACCCCATATTTTCTTTAATTATTAAATTAAAAAAAAAGAATTTGTGCTTGTTTTTGTTCTGAAAACAACTGGTTGTTATTATTTATTGTAGAAAACAAATATTAATCTATATTTAAAAAATATCCAAGTGGCTTTTTTTCATTAATGTTTTGATTTGTCTCTTTAATTCTTACCTGGCTTAAATTTGCTAATGCTAAGTATAAGTCCTTTTTGAAAACTGTATACAGCTTAAAACAGTAAGCATGAAGCTAACGTTTTGTGCAATTACTTTCGTTATAACTGTTTTTAATTTTAGCAAATTATCGGTTCTCTTTTGGCTATTTTCGAGCAGAAATTTTGGGTGCTGCAATATCAATTGTAATTATTTGGGTTCTCACTTCACTGCTTGTTTTGCTTGCCATTCAGAGAGTAATTAATGACGATTATAATGTTTGTTTTACATTGTTACTTTAAAATCGACATCTCTTTTTTTTAAACCAAAATTGTACAGCAGAAAATTTTCACCAGTATAAGAAAAGTATAAGTATGATTGTTAATACATAAGTATATCTTTTCTTCAAAACTTTGGCACTGATTTCTAAAACGTAATGTAATATAATTTCATTCTTTAGTTTTTATTAATATTTATCAATAGCCAAGTTTATAGGAACTAGGAAACTTTAAAAAATATTTATGTTAACTGGAGAGTTGTAGATTGATGCAGATACCATGATCGTTACAGCAGCTGCAGGGATTGTATTTAATATTATAATGGGGCTTGTGTTGAGATACTTTCGTAGTGCTCATCCGAAGATGAACCATAGTCATCACAAGTTAGTATCTGATCTTCCCATTTTTCTATAAGACTTTATTTATTCAAAAAATTTATCATTTATTATTATTTAGGTCATCAGATGTGAATATAAATATACAAGCGGCTTTTATCCATGTTCTGGGTGATTTCGTTCAAAGTATTGGTGTTCTAACGGCTGCCATTATCATCAGAGTAAAATTAGTTCTAGTTCTATTGTCAATTGTGCTCTGTCGTCATCATATAGTAACTGAAATTAAAAATTTTCATATCTTTCACCACTTTATAGTCCTGCTTGATTTATTTGTTCTGCAGAATTATCCATATGCTTATATGTTTTTTTTCAAGGTGCTTTCAGGTGACAGGTTGGAAATTGGCCGATCCCATATGCACATTCCTTTTTTCCGTCATTGTATTGATAACTAGTGTTACTGTAATTCGTGATGTCTTCATCATATTAATGGAAGGTATAAGTAATATATGTGATTATCAAGAAAGGATATTTTTTTTCTGGTCTTACAGTTTATGAAACGTTATTGAGTTTATATATTTGATTCTAGTTCAGAGTTTGTGTTAATTTTTGATTTGAAAATTTTGTCCAAAGATATAAAAAACATCTTGAGAAAAATATATTGTTTTTACAGTTAAAAGATTGCAGTTTTGCAACCTAAGAAGAAAATTTTTTAGGAACACCTACTAATGTTAGTTATTGTGAATTACAAAAGGATTTGCTAAATATAGGCGGTGTACGGACATTACATAGCTTACATGTTTGGTCTTTGAATGGGGATACGACATCTGCATCTGTCCATCTAGCTATTGGTATGATTGGGTTCCAAAATGAACCATGAATAAATGATATTTTAATTTGGTGAAAGTTATAGCTGTTTGTTTGCATGTAAAATTATTTTATTGGAAATGGTATTTTTCATTTCAACATTGATTTCTTTTTCATGGTTCCTAAATGAGCATGGATTAGTTTTGTTTATTTTAGATGAACCTGAAAAAGCAACGGAAACGCTAAAAGCAGCAAGCAATGTTATGCGTTTCAAACATGGTATACCTATAGTTACGATACAAGTCGAGCCATATGAAAGGTACATGGTATCGTGTAAATTTTGTAAACCATTGTTGGAAGTGAATTCTCGAGTTGACATTTAAATTAAGCTTGATGAAATTTTAACTAGTAAAAAATTTTCTGTCAGAAAGCATTTCAAAATCACTTTGCACTTCGAATTTTCTCTCAAATAAAATGAATGATTTCTTGCATTTTAGTTTACTTTGCTTGATTGCTCAAATCCGCATAATTTTTTTCACTAGTACTGCTGGGTATTCAATAAGAGCATTAAATTTTTGAGATGTTTAGCGTTGAAGTATTGATTTTAGTTACTAACTTTTGCTTGTATCGTTGGTTTTTTGAATTAATGTCTGACTTACTGAAGAAAGCATTATATTTATACTTTCTTCACGTTAGAAATGATCTACTCACTGTAGATATTTAAGAGTGCGTTATTTAATGAGATCCAGAATTTCATGATGTTTTTTTACGTTTTATTTCAACGTATTTATTTGACGATTTATATGGTTCCATTGTTGCTCAGAATTTTTTCCTTTGATACTTTGTTTTATTAAATTATATAGTCGTATGTGTTGTTTTTATTGTCATTTAGTCTTGATTTGTTTTGTCTTCATTTCCACCTGCATTTTTGACTTAACACTTAAAGTAAAATAAAACAGGGTTGTTTATGTTGTTTTAAATCAGATGTTTCCGTGACCACAACTGTTGTCGTGATTGCTACTATCGCTATCATTTTTAATTCTTCAAACTAAGGAATTTTTGCTTTACTTCAATTTTTTTAAATTTCTTTTTCTGTATTTCAGTTCAGCAAAAGTTTAAAATAAAGGAAGTTAGGTATGGGCAGCGCAGTTATTTGTTTTTTATTGGCTTTGCAATCCATTTTGACTGCGAAAGCGGAAGTTTACAGTTGTGGAGGATTTGTAAAGTCACCAAATGCTGTAATCGATTATTCGAGGATACAGGTCTGAATTTATAACAGGCATCTTTTATTAAGAAAAGTCGATTTAATATTTTATGTTTGACATCAAAGTTTGTGATATAAGTGAAATATTTCCTGTTTTTTAAAATTTGATAGCTATAAAATGTTTTATTAAACCCTTCCGTAATGCAAAATAAAAAATAGAAGCATAGTCCAGTGGAAAACTCGTTAGGATATTCCTACTGGAACCTAGTCCAAAACTAGATTAAATATTCCTACTGACTTGCCATGGGATCTGTTCTTGTAGTGGGATTTCATTGAGTCTTAGCTTTTGTTATCTTTCTGTTACTTGTCATCTTTCTTTTAACTTTCTATGATTTTTCTATCTATTCTATTGCAAGTAAATGTTTCGTACTGTCAAATCAGCCGTGATTGTAAATATAGAGTATATGGATGATGTTTTATCTTCTGATTTGGCTTTATTAGACACTTCAACTTGATGAACTCTTTACAGTAATATAAAGTTTTTAAGATCGATTAATTTTTAGTTCCATGATTGACTTGTGCTGGATATGATTTCAATTTATTGGGGTTCCGCTAATAATTTCTGTTCTGAATTGATTATGGAAAAAATTTTTGCAAGTTGAAAAGTGTTGTTAATTTTTGAGTAATCGAATATCACTTATTTATGTCTACAGATTAAACTGTTCACTGCTGAAGGAAATTTAAAATTCGAAACCGATTGTAGTCCAACAAATGGTTATTATATGATCCCAGTGTACAACAAAGGAGATTATTCTATACGGTTGTTTGCTCCTGATGGCTGGTTTTTTGGTTAGTTGCTATATACAAATTATTCATTTTCGAGTGCGGATTTATCCCAATTCATTGTAGGCATGTTTTTCATCAGATGATTTTTTTCTTTTTGAATAATATTAAAATTGTAGAGCCAAATATTTTTGATCTAAAAGTCGATGGCAAGACAGATGTGTGTACGAAAGGTGAAGATATCAATTTTATCTTGGAGGCTTTTGCTGTGCAAGGTGTGCTTCGAAGCGGCAGTAGTGGCGGGCCTGCAGGTATTGCATTAATTCTTGCTTCCGAAGATGGTACCATCATTGCTGAAACGAAGACGGTTGCAAATGGTGCATATCAGTTCAAGGCATTACCTGGAAAATATTCGGTTATTTTTTATTGGGCTTTTAAGACTGAAAATAATATTTGTGTTCTTCGATACCAACAGTTGAAAACATTGTGTTATAGATCTAGAAGCTATTAGGAAAGTGGATAATTAATTTGACTAGCTTGCAATATATTTTCTATTCTGTGAAGGTATCGACTGCGAATGATAGCACGGAATGCATTGAGTTGGGTAAAGTATCAGTGTCTGTCATTGCTTCACCAGTACGTGTATCACCGGATTTGAAAATATCTGGGCATTTGTTGTCAGTTGCAGTCTTGTCAAAAGCATTTCCTCTATCTGGAGTGTCAATAAAGCTTTATTCTGAAGCTGCTTTGAAGGTAAAAAATAATTTATGAAAATAATATTACAAGGTGCGTTTTGGTGAATTAGATTTTTTGAAAACAATCATACATAGTTTTTTTCTTCTGAGTTATCAATTAACGAATATGTTTCTCAGAGCAACCTCTGTATTTTTAGAGTTTCTGATTCCTTCTATAGTACTCACTATTATTATGTTTGGAATGTCAAATATTTTCCAGTCGCAAGTTTTAACACAAAAATGTTTTTTTTTTTGAATTTCACTGTTGCTTTGCAGCTACCATACTGTCAAGAGGAAAAAGCAGGGATATACAAAACACAAAATAAATTTAGTGAGAAGTTTGTTTGCGAAATGATGACTGATTTCGATGGTATCGCTCGCTTTCCTTGCCTTCCTCCGGGATCCTACTTAGTTTATCCATCTCTGTATACAGATAAAGTTCATTTTAGTTTCTCACCAGAAAGTAGAGAAATTACGATGAGGTCAGAAGCTGAAAAGGTTATGATTTTCACAATTATGAATTTTATTTTAAATTAAATCAACGTACTCTCGGTTTATTTGCTTAGTTGCTCATAATAATCAGTATTTCATTCATATTATAGTTTTAGTCTTTTCCTTTTATTTCTAAACTGTAGGCCGGAGTGAAATTGGATGTAGTAGCATTTAAACAAAGAGTGATTATTATTTCACAAATTGTTAATCTAGTAATCGAATGGTGATTCTCATTTTTATCTCATGACTCTATTAATAATTGTATTTTTTGATCCATACATTTTTGCTTACCTTATGTTTTTCTGTCTGATTCCACAGTATACAATGTCAGATAGGTTTTTGTTTTCAGCTACTACATGAAATTATTTACAGATTGCTTTCGACACACTTGGATTCCGTAACAAAGGTCAAGTTCTTCTTCTTGGACGTCCAGTTGCTGATGCAGATATTTATGTAAATGGCGAATTGAAGGCGAAAACTAATGAAAGAGGATGGTGAGTAATTGTGACTAATAATAAAAGTTTATATATATCTACATAGCAGAAAACTTGAAGAGCGCAAAAACATCCTCTTCAGATTTTTCAGGTATGAAATTGATGGTTTATATGATGATCACTATGTAATAACTGCTAAAAAAAATCATTTCACTTTTAATACAGTGAACATCAAGTTAGTTGCACAAGAAGCGGAAATTCCCGATATTGTTGTAGAAAGGTAATATAAATTATTATGTCTATAGCATTTTCTAGAAGTTTTTTACCTCTTATTAATGGGATGAAATAGTTAATTTAGAAATATTTGTTTCTCAATGCTATTATACGTTGATCATACGAAGCATTATTATATAATAAAAATTATTTTGGCCCTATATTCAGTATGAATCATGAAATTGACTTTTTTCTAGCATCATCGAAAGCTAGTTCTCCTTGTAATTATATAAAGTGACATGCTTCCTATGATTGACGTCATTATCAATTGATCGTTGTGGTCGAAGTATAATTTTTAGAGTAGAAGTATGTGTAAAGGTAGATGTGGAAGAAAGTAGTGAAAGAGTAATGACAGTTTCTTTCACTAATCAACAAACGAAATCCGTGGAATCATTGAGCACGGCAAGTGACGGGAAATTATGCACTCTGCTTCCAGTTGGATTGTACATCGTATCGGTGAATGTCTATTACAACTTTTACTTGCTGAAGCCCTAATTGATGAGCATAAAACATCAAGGAAGAGAGAAAATTTTATTGATTATTACTGTGTAATTTATGCTTCTATCATGACATTCCAATATAGGAAGAAAGTAGACATCAAGTTAGTTGCGGAAGAAGCGTAAACTTCCGATATTTTTGTGTTAAACGTTTGAATTTTATTGTTTCTTAATAAATAGTCAAGGTTGTGGTAGATGATAAAAACATGAATTATTAGTTTTACCTCTCGTATGCTCAATGAATGGATATCTGAAAGTATTTTTCTATTGCTGCTGTCAGTCTTAATCTTTTGTATTTCAGGTTCGACCGACAGCGGGTGTTATAATGACACCTAAACAAAGTGAAGTAGATTTGTCTAGAGGTTCAGTAATGGATATCGTATTCAGTCAATTCAAAGCTGATGTAACCGTTAATGTCGTCTGCATCGGTTTCTAATTTTCTTTTGTTTCGCCATTAAAGATTAAAAGGTTTTGAAGAACATTGTTTAGCGCTGATTCCGGTTTTTTTCGGTCACATTTATTTTATAATGAACAATTGTTAGATCAGTTTTTATATGTATTATAGTAAAAATTCTCAACAAAAAATTTTATAATTGATCAAGTTTATTGTATTATTACCCTCGAGCAGATGACTGTGGCCAACTTAAAGTGGAATTATGGAGACAAAATATATTAATAAAAAGCTTGGAAGGCGTTGATCATTTTGTATTCCATGAAGTAGCACCTGATTCTTATAAACGTTAGTTTGATTCATAGAGAATAATACTTTATTTGTTCTTACAATTTTAAAGCTTTTATGAGATAAGAAACAATATTGGTACGTTTATTAAAATAATTGAATTTTGTAGTTATAATAGTTGATAACGATCGCTTCTGCTGGGAAAATACTAAAATAGATATTTTTATCGAACGTGCTGATTTGAGTAATTTAATTTTCCGCCAGACGGGCTATCGAACATCAACAAGATTGTCACATCCTGCTAAAGCGGTTTATCCTTATTGTATTTGCTTGTTTTAATTTTATCATTAAATTTAACCAGTAGCATTTTTGTTTGATGTCTTATATATAATGAAGAAGTGGGGTCTTTTTTCTGTCCACGACTAAATTTTTGTGCTTTAAGTAATTATGAATATTTGATTATTCCTATAATTATTTTTTCATTATTTTTTAGAAATGGAATATGTTAGATAAACCTCAAGTCAGTGGTTCATTGAGCATACCTGCTGGAAATTTCTTTTTCTGCATTCCGTTAACCGGTATTTACACTATAATACTTGATGCCTGTCATAAATTTGACAAGAAGTCTTATGAAATTACTATTCCGCAAGAAACTCCGCTTTTTGCGTCTGCAACAGAATTTTTGGTTTCTGCATCCGTCTTATTGGACAATCTATCAGAGCAAGATGATTTTGTCTTAATTGTTAAATCAAGTAGAGATGAACAAATAATTTCTGTAAGTACTGTAGAATTTTAGACTTACTATCTTGGTGAAAATCACATCTCAACAGTTGTATTTCTCATTGCTATAATAGAGAATTATGCTCATAAATTATTCCTTTTTCCATAATTTCTTTAATACGTCTGGTATAACGATCATTTAATTTTACTTGTTTATTTAATATTGTGCAAAAAATTCTTATTTATTTTTAAAGATTTTTCCCACTTGCATTATTTAGGCGACTTCAATTGAAAATGAATTAACGTTTATATTTTATTTGTCGATTCTCGATATCGATGCTCTCATTACTTTAGTACCTCAGTCGAAAAGCTTTCTTTTCAAACCAACTTCACATGTCTTTCACTTCAGCGGTAATTTTGTCTGCATTTTATTCTTTATCTCTTGATTCTAAATTACATAGCTATTTTTGTATAAGTATTCGAAGTATGCGCACAAAAGTTTTATTCTTACTTTTTCAGGTGAGTGCCATTTGAAAGAAGTAGTTTTCAAGGCTGATAAAGGCATCTTTTTGGAAGGGCAAGTTCTGCCAGCTGTAGAAAATGTAGAAATTCATTCATCGCATAAAAGTGATCCAAACGTAAAGTTCAAAACAGTGACTGATAAAAACGGTAGTTTCAGGTAATTTTCTTGTTTCAGTGTTCCAATTTTGTGAAATATTCAGTTAATTGGATCAGTTATTCATCTTCCAAATGTAGTGTTTTTTGTACTGGCTTCATACTTCCGTGTGTGAATTTTTAAATAATTTGTTATTTCTTCTTATTTCATTTTTAATCTTTACCTTTCAGGATAGGTCCTATACGAAATGTCAAAGATTTTAATATAACTGCCGAAAAAAATGGATATAAATTTGAGGAAACTGAAAAATTAGGTGTGTTTAATGCCATAAAACTATCGCAGCTCATTGTCGTAGCAACGGATGTTGAAACGGAGACACCATTGACTACTGTACTCATTTCATTAAGTGGAACCGGAAATTATCGATCAAACAATTTTATTGATGATACTGGAAAAATCAGCTTTGTTGGTTTAGTAGGTTTTTAAAGAGATACTTTTGTTGTTTCAAGCACATACGATTAAAAATCAAGCAAATAATATACGATTGCTTTGATTTTTAAGTGTTTTACGCATTGCTGTTCTAATGAGTCATTTCTTATGTGATTTCCAGCAACCAGGAGAATATTTCTTACGCCCCATATTACAAGAATATAAATTTGAACCGAAGTCAATGACAATAATTATCAAAGAAGGCGAATTGGAGACAGTAAATTTGAAAGGACGTCGTTTTGCATACAGGTAAGGTTAAGAAGTTGTGTAAAATTTGCTAATTTCTACCAGCATAAAAATTTTGATACTCACATATTTTGTCAAGTTGGTTGATCAGTTGTTCATTAAATCACTTTCTTTATTAGTGTAAATAAGATCTTGACGTTGAAATCGAGTTTAAGTATTATACAAAGTCTATTTTTTCATATATTTGCACCAAGATCGCTGAAGTAGATGAGTTTCAGCGTTTTTGGTAGAGTTTCATATCCAGCTAATCAACCTGCGCCGGCAGTAGTTGTTGAAGCAGTATCAGATCAATGCAATCAATTACAAGAAGAAGATACTACGGATGATAATGGTGAATATCGTATTCGCGGTCTTCATCCAACATGCGTATATAGATTAGTACTAAAAACGACAAATGGCCAACGCATGCAGTCATATCCAGTTCACTACGACATCACGGTGATCAAAAAGTTTATTGATTTCCAAAATTATGCTTATGATAATGTAAAGAGTAGAATTAGTAAAATAAGTGGAATAAGTGTCAGGTATTAGACTCATACTCTGCAAAAAGTTTTGTCAAATCTAAAAGGCAAAATTGGATGTTATCAACATGTGATGAAGCATTTCACAAAATAGACTTGTTATTAATGTTAGCAGGAATCTCTTGCGTGCAGTCATAATTTATAAAAATTATAAATTTTCGAGTTAATCATTTTTGAGGTAAATGCTGAAGATGTGAAAGACATTAATTTTGTATTGACACATGTCGCGGAGAGAGTAGAAATTGCCGGTGAAATTGCATTTTTGGATATAGAATCACCAGCACGATATAAAGTTGGTCTTTACAAAGGTAGAAATTTGTTGCAGCAAGTTACAGTTGTACCGCCATCCAATTTATTTTATTTTGACATTCCACAAGCAGACAATTTGGTGAGTTGCATCTTATTTGTTTTTACGAGTTATTGTAATAGCCACATGAATTATTATTCACGCATATTTCGTTATCGCAGAGTATTTCATTAGTATATTATTTTTTGCCTTTTACCATAATTTAGTAATCGAAAATTGTTGAAGATTTATTCGGTACGACTTGACACCTCTAAAGATCCAAATAATCAAAGGCTAGTATCTGATGAAACCTTTTTCACTGTTAATGATACATTTCAGTCTATCATACTAAATGTTCATCAGCAAGTAAGTAACCTTATTTTTACATTTTTATATTATTATGCTTTCGTCACTTTACTGTTTGTTATTTTCTATAATTTATATTATAGATTTCAATAAATCGTTTTAATGAAATTGCATTTGTTATCAAATTTCTTAATTTTTCTGTTTTCTGACGTTAACATCAAAAAATGCCACATTGCGTCACGTCAGATAATGAAGATCATACGAAATTTGTCTCATGATCATCATAATGCAGTCTCATCAAGATGCCATGTGTTCTTTAGTACTTATGATTAGATACTAAAGATGTATTGTTTTAAAAATTTGTTGAAATGCATTCTTTAAATCATCTAACATAAATGTTTAATCCTTCATGTAACGGATAATTTACCTAAAGTTCACTCAATTTGCAGCGAAAATCGGAAGTGGAAATATCTGTTGGCAGTTATTTTGCTTTTCCATTCTTTTTTATTATTGCTTATTTATTTTTCAATCACCAAAAGGTTTGTTTAATTTTCGAAGTACTTTACAAGATCCGTAGTTTTAATTTGTCGATTTTCAAGAAAAACATTAAAAGAACACTTTTGTTAGCTTGTCAATCATTTCATATTTTCCTTTATTTTATGGTGCTTTCACATGTTTGAATGTGGACTAGGAATTTATTGGAATTCTAGTTTTTACGACTATAATATATACTTTATAGAAAGGCACATATGTTTGGTTGTAATAATAATCTAAGAATATTTCATTCAAATAATAATTGTAACATGTCTTACCTAATGTCATTTAACGAAGCAGTTTTATATTTCAGGCTTTCTCTTTCATAAAATCAACTTTTGTTCGGTTGTCATACCTGTCATTGCCACATCGTAGTCCATCGCCAAGCGAAGATTTTGCTGATCAATCCAAAAAAAGACAAAGATTAAAGAAAGCTTAATAAATCGGCAATTTTTTCAATAACGAAATTGTGAAATGCTTCTAGAGGTCAGACTAGACTCATCTTGTCAGTTAATATCAACTAGCAGATCCATTTTCCTGCAATTCAGTAGATATTGCCTTGTAATAATCGAAAAATTCAACATGCAGTTTTCCTAAATTTCGTTATATCATATTATCAGTCACATTATTATTACGTTGTTCTAGATCTTTTTATATGGGAATGTGATGCGCGTGGTCTCGATCTATTCCCACATTTTTCTTATTCCGACCCTGACTTTATCACTAATCATTTTCTTCCGGGTTCATAAACTTTGAGAGAACTTTACCCATTAGGCGATGGAATGATCTCTTTATTTTCATCATCATCTTTCTGTCATTGGGAGATTCAAATTTAATCTTATTGAGCAATACAAATTTTTAGCATATTTATATCATTTTGTTGAATGGCGATTCTGAACTCATCTACTTCTTATGTTCCTTGTTGTTATTGTTGGTTATAAATCTAAAATTGCTAAAGTCATTGCTTCGGACATTTTTATCCAGTATTTGAAAGTATTAGTTACGTTGTACGGACGATAAACTGTGTTAAGATAAAAAGTGCGGTTGACAATATTTCGAAAGATCACTGATGATTCTATACGTCTGTATAGAAATATGAATCCCTTGGAGGTCGTTTACTTTTCTCCCAGTTGATTATTTTATCGTTGAACAACTTATGTGATAAAATTTAGATGAAAATTTATACGACATAGTTGGCAAGAAAATATTTTCCATATCCAATCCTTCAGTTACAATGAGAATTTCTGTTCGTTACTGTTTTCATTTAGATATAAAATTGGAAGGCAAACACTGAAACTGGTTCCCATCTTACGCTAATCCTATAAATATTAACATTAAATAAATAAGTGATAGTAGTTTAAGCTATTTATCTGATCACAGATATACTTAGTTACAATTAGCATCTATATATTGAAGACAAATCTTAACATCTTATATATCTAAATTCTTAGTTCGTTACCACATTTATCTTATCAATTTTAGACTAATTGTACTATTTGCACCACAAAGTAGATGAAGTAATATCTAGTGGTAGTGGGTAATGCATATAAGTAGGCATTAGAAGCATGTGCAATATACAGTAAATTTCACGATGAAACCTATGCAAAGCCATTATTGTGCGCAACCAATACGATTAATGTACAGCTGTACTATTGAACTTTCGCTTTGTAGTGTGACAATTGTAAAGTATCACAGAAATATGTCATTGAAATTTTATCACTGGAAGACAAATGAAAGCTAGTAGAATGGTGATAAACTTTCAATATAATTTAGTTATTGAGAGGTCAAATGATTATTAGTCTTTTGAAAGCTACAAGTACACATGAAAACTGTTTTACCCTTAAAATACCCACACTGAGACATTGGTAAATGAATTTGTGAAAAGTAACACTTTTAAATAACAAAACTATGATTTGGAAGAGATGATCAACAAGCACATTTTTTTAATAGCAAGTAATAAATAAAGAGTTGCCTCAAACTGCCGACTAAATGATGTAAAACAAGAAAAGAGTAGTAACGAGTTGAAACTTTGAAAGAAAATCTAATTTACTTCTGAATCTACTCAGTTATTTAATTTAAGTCCTTCATAAGTTTTCTCATCATGATACTATTGTCTTCATCATACTCGTGAACACCAATGCCTTCTGTTCAAGCAAAAAAGATAAGAAAACTGGTAATATTATTTTTCGCCTAGTCACTTATCTATTTTTTGAGAAGAAAAATTGCAGCAGTTATGCACTGAAACTCAAAATATTTCCGATATAAATTATAATGAATAAAAAATGGAGGGGAGCTGTGTGCTGTCTCGCATTTTGAACTAATACTGACTTCAAGACTAATAAGTGACGAGAGAAATAATATCAGTACAATAATAATGTTCTTGTCGACTTCCGAATCAAATATAATAAATCAAACAACAAAGAAAACAACAAAAATTTCATCTTGAATCACACTTTCTAATTATCTATCAACTTCGAAAATCAGAAAAATTTGTCTTTTAAAAAATATAGATATTGAATTTAACTTCTTTCATAACTTAATAATTATGAAAGGCTTGTAAATTTCAGTCGAATCCATTTTAGCTTAGAAAGATCTATTAACTTCTGTAGTTTATGATGATGGAAATCAACCATTAATTTGCTAAAGCTACTAAAGATAAAATAGAAAACTCTTTTAAAAAAAATTTTTTTTTATTCCTGTAAACCGTAAACAAAAGCTAACTCATCTTTAAGAACTGCATATACCAACATCTTTCGCATTCCACCAACCATACAAGTTGAATCGTATAAGTTATGAAAATATCAACAAACTAAAATAATATTATAAGACGATATATGAGCAATATAGATGAACAGTATCTAATATCAACATTATATAAATTAAAATTAAACAAAAAAAAGAACAACTCCTGGCTGATGATAATACCTTGAAAACAACTAATGAGCAGTAATGGACTCAAACAGTATCCATATTTAACAAGTCGTCAATTACGGTTTAGATTGCTATAATAAATGCATCAACAATTTAATACTTTAGATTAGCTGTATAGCGATTTCACAAATTTCTCTAGAAATACTAAAAAATGCATCCATTCCTAATAACTTCTAAAATCACAAATTCTTCTAAAGATACTAAAAAATGTACTCATTCCTAATAATTTCTAAAACCATACAGTTTTCTCCAAGAATATATGTTTGTTTGTTTTTTAAAACAAATTCGAAGATACTCTACTAAATGAAACAAAAATGTATCTATTATCTTAATCTATCAGTCTAACGCTACCTCTTCCATTGTTTGCCTTGCTTTCGCATGACTGATAATAGAATTATTCATGACACTTTTCGGTTTCGCTTCAATTTCAGTGCTGGAATTTTCATATTTTTCCAAGCTTTTGGCTTCAACTAATGAATTACTATTAACACCATCACTATTCTTAATACCATCACATTTCAATCGTTCTCCTTCTTGATCTGCTTCTAAAGATGCCGAAACACCTTTAAGCTGAATAAATATAATACCATTCAATATATTCAGCACTTCCAATACACTTTGAAGCGATGGACGGTGAATCTTAAATACAATCTCATGTAACTATATAAACGACCACTATCTCATTGTTTTACATCACACAAACCATTTTAATTTATGTTCAGTTATTTTATATTAAAATCTAGTAGCAGTATTTCGCCTAGATAAATTAAATAAGACTCTAAAATCTAACACTTTATAGTATTCAGTTTTTCTTTCATACCATGAAATCATTTAGTGAAATTTAAACAGCTCAACCTCAACAGGTAGAAGCTGCCCAAGATTGTTAGACCCTTGCCGATTAGCTTCATTAATACGCTTCTGGAAGATCACTGCTTGACGGGTTAAATGCTTTAAGCATTCACCACTTTCCCTAGTTTTCTCATGATCATTGCCAAAAGTTTTCGCATATATTGTGAACGTTTCCTGAAAATGTTGTTTTTCTTTTTTTCATTAAACTGATCTAACAGGCGGAGGTTATTTTCTTGAAATTGACAGTGAAAACTTCCTCATTTTTGGAATTACCTTCTCCATCTGCAGTGCAGAACGAAAATCTCCTCTGCAAGAATAAGTCCTCGCTATTAAGTGATATATAAGTGCTATCTTCAATGATTGCGGTTCCAAATATTTTTGATGGAGTTTTAAAGCATTTTTAAGAAACTTTAGAGCATCATCAAACTCTTGAACAGCATGCAATATAACACCGATATTACCATCTATTTCTGCCATTACTGGATGGTCTTCACCTAAAAAGGAAATGTAAAAACTTTTTCAATAAAAAAATCAATTTCGCTAACAATTCAAACTTTTGTATCAATTGATTGTATCCAATTCTCAATAAAATGCCTTTCTGGTTGAAAATTCAGATTTTATTACACAAATATTTAAATAGTCATACCATGAATAAGTAATAGCAAGTAACGGGCTCGATAAAGTAATTTGAGTGCTGCAGCAATGTGAAGATTTGCAAATGAGAAATGGGCAAGATTCAGCTAAAATGAAAAAAAATTTTTTTAAAATATCCAATTAAATATAAAGAAAGAAAGTAATACGATCCTGCAAGTTTTTCAACAGTAACTCTTGAAAAGTAAAAAATTTGCAAGAAGAAAGTTGAAAACTTTTGCAAATATATGATAAAATATTGAAGACTTACAGTTTCTTTTGACCAATTAATAAAATGAAAACTTTGGGTAGATTATGATAGTTTTTTGTATCTTCAGATTAATCATTTTAACACTAACATATTCCATAATGGTATTAGCATCATCCAAACCATTGCAACGCTCGCTCATTAATGTTGCTTTATGCTGCTGTGATAAGGCTTCAGCTGGATCTCCCAGTATATAAGAAAGACGAGCAAGTAAACGCATACATTGAGCCATATCGGAATGCATTGCACCATATACGTTATTCATCAAATTTAAAGATTCTAACACTAAATCAAGCCCTGCACGCAGATGACCTAAAAAAGGAATGAAAATTTGTTTCTTTTCAATATTTCAATAAAGTAAATATTTATTTTGAAAAGTGAAATTCTTCATCTGAAACTACGTTGTGCACAAGGATATAATTTATAGTCTATTCCAAAAAATTCAGCGGCCATTGAAGTATTCTACAAACATAGAAAATGCAAGGATATTAATTCTATCTGTACCATTTCTTTAATTTACCTTGTTGGGCTTTCGTTTGTCCAGAAAGATACAAACTATGAGCATCGACAGCTTTTGGATCAACATGCTTGACTACACAGACTAAATTCTGTATATCATCTTCCATGAACAACGGAGATTTTTTAGTTGTTTCCAAATTATAATCTCGCAGAAGCAACTAGAAATATAACATAGAAGCTCGAAATATGAAACTAAAGAATTTTCTTCCTGATCTACTTTCACTATTCTTTTTTATAATGCCCATAAAAAAGTAAAAAAATTCTTAACAGCAAATATGTGCTGAAAAGAACTTAAATACTAGAAACCAAAATATTAAATAGTAGATTTTCATAATTCAAAATAATAATTTTCAAAAAATACTAAGTTTTCAGTACATCAATAAATATTAAAATGATACTTGAATTCCGACTATTTGAGCAAAACGACGTAAAACTGAAGTTTTTTGAATTTTAAATGCAGTCAAGTATTCGTCAATATTATCTCCCTCGATCTTAAATCCATAGTGGTAATCAGATTCAGATACTATTCGTTTCCAAAAAACACTAGATGTGAGCTGCGCCCAGTCATCATGTTCTTTATTTCCACTGCTGACGTGTTTCCGACGTTTTGCTGCCCGTTTTCTAATGCCATTTATTTGTACTGGTATCTGGAAATATATTAAAACTAAGTTTAGCTTCATTTGTTAAAGATTTGAAAAATGAATAACTTCACAATCTTAAAATATAATCAATGCAACATTTTTTTTTTCATCATGTGCTTGAAACTAATAACAACCATCACTTCATATAAATTAGAAATTTATACCACATAATTCTTATTTTGTGTTGAGACGGTTAGAAGATAAGCATAAATCTTCGTATTACAAGACCAGCGATAAAATGAAGATTTCTATTCATACTGGCAACAAAAAGTACGTATATTATATCTACATTCTAAATATATAATATACCTACTTTTAGTATTCCGACTAAAATTGTGTTTGATTAATAAAATAACGGCAATGTCCGACAATTTAATTTACACAAAAAAAAATTGACCTCTTCATTAAACGATGATAAAGGCTCGGTTGAAGCAGTTAAAAAACAGTTGAGAAAATGTGATACTGCGATAGCTGCATGCCCTGTTGGTATAGGTTGCAAATAACCACGGAATATATGTTTTGCAGATCGACATAATAATTCAGTCATGGATATTACCTGTAAATTACTACCTCAAATTTACTAATCATATAATTAACAAGCACGTATGTAGAAAACAAATTACTGTAACGGATAACACTGCACGCAAGAAAAATTAGTTTTTACAATTGAAATATTAAAAAGATTTTTTTAGTATAGACTCTGCCAAATCTTATGGGATCAATTTTTATCAAATAAAGTGAATTCACTTTTACTGAATGGAAAAACCGTGAGGAATATTTATTGTTTTGCAACGTAATCTTTGTTTTATATCAGTTAAAACTAGTAAAATACAGATTTCTTACCTTGAGATAAGTCAACTGTTCCACATTTTGAATACATTTCGTCAATTTACCTAGGTATCGAATATTAATACCACGTGAATGTAATGATTCAGTCAACGACCGACCATCAAGAGGCACAATTGAACGTTGCAAACAATCACGAATAAAATTAGGTAACTGCTAAAAAATTCAGCAAAATTGAAAAGATGAAATAAAACATCCAAAACCTGCTAAAGAATTGACAAATTTTAAGAACATTTTTCAAAAAGTTATTCTACGCTTTACTTTTCAACTCCTGCTCCATCAATATTTTATCAAAAGAATAATGTTGAGAGTCATTATTACTGATAATAACAATGATAATAATAATTATTATTATTATCGCCTGCAACATTGTCACCACATACATATTAGTTTATTAGATGTATTCGATAAATATGTTGCTCCTATCTGAAATTTCAATTTTACAAATTTACCGCACAACTGATGAAAAAACGTTTTGAAAACAAAGTGTAAAAAAGCATACTTGTACAATTAAAAATTCAGCTGCTTCAGCAACCAAACGTTTTTGTTTTCCAATGTTTTCACTTTCAGCATGACGCACTGTATCACAGTAACAATCTGGATTAAATCTTATATCAAATGCATGCTTGCTGATTGAACCTACAGCCATTGCTGCTGCTGCCATGATCTAAAAAATAACCACAAATTTGTTTCAAAAATTAAACAGTTTTGACAAAAAGCTTGTGCTTTCATTTGTAACTTTTAGAATGGCAAAAGAATAATGTTAAGAGTAATTTACATTTTCTAGAAAATTGATTTCCGTATACGAATTCCATCTAAACTATATGCAATCTTTAATTGTCAGTCCTTACTCATGAAACACAGAATTTCGTTTCACCTCGTCTGATATTTCCTTTCTTGAACTGTCGTCAATTTTGTTGCCGCTAATACCAATCGCTTCACTGACAATTTCCTTCGGTGCTTCAGCTTCTGGCATTGACAAATCATTTGATTCCAAGCCAGCCATTATTTCGCTCTGCAATACACTATATCTCAATGCAATGATCTAATTACCAGAACTAATACTGAACTATTTTAACTTCTAAATTCAGTTATTAAATATTATTACCTGATTACAATATAATAAATATTTATAATAAACATCGCTAATCAATCACAGTACTACTACTAATTTTTTAATACTATCAACTCTGTCTTATCAGATTTGTCTCCTTCTACTTCTTCTTTTATTTGTTTTTCACCTTCAACTTTGTTAACAGTATTACATGTTTCCAAATCAGTTTTTTTTATTCTCTACTGACACTGATATAAAAGATATCTACTGATGCCTCTGTAGATATCCTTTATTTGCTCTAAAACAATTACTTGTAAACATGACTCTAGTTGTAAACTAAATGTTTTGAAAAACGGCAATTATATATCAATAAAAGTCTTAAAAAATAGCAGCAAGTGTGAAAAACAATCATTTTTTTATCTTTCGATTCGGAAAAGAAATTCACCTTTATTTTTGCTTCAGTCTCCGAAAAATTACCATATTAACTAACCTTAATTTGCTTCATTATTGCACTCTCTGTCTTATCAGATTTGTCTTCTTCTACTTCTTCTTTTATTTGTTTTTCACCTTCAACTTTGTTAACAGTATTACATGTTTCCAAATCAGTTTTTTTATGATGTACGTGATATGCGGCAACACGAACAAACATCAAATAACGACATCTAAAAAAATACAAGACTAATTCATATACAATAATTCAAATCGTGAATAATTTACTCCATCAATTAAAAATGAAGTACGTACTTAAAAACTAGCATGGAAAATTTTAATACAAAATATTAGCAAAAGTTGATAGTATTATCAAAAACAACTAACTCTACGAAAGCTTCAATCAGCTCTTGTCTAAGCGAAGCAAGCTTATGAGGAAAAGGACGAGGGTAACCATTTGCTTTACATATTCTCGTGACTTCAGCATTTTCAAGATAATTGACATCTGGCGGGAAAGTCCTCAGAAGATCTAAAATATAGTGTCTCGAATCATTCCCAATGATGCCCTGAAAAATGGAGAAATTTAAAAATCATCATCATATTAAAATAAACAAATTGCTTTATTTTCTTGGACTGCCACTTAATCATATATTCCAAAACTTCTAAAACCTTAAAAAACCATTTGCAAAGTTAGTTCTTTTTAAAAATACAAATTAGGTAAAGATTTACTTCAATTCAAAAATAAATACCAACTAAAAAATTAAAAGTTTCATATTTTAAAACAAAACATATGTTATTACTACTATGTGAAAACTTTATATGAAGTGGCCTCGTTTTGATATTATTTTAAGAAAAATATAATGACAGATATGAATCAATCAATTTAATTAAAAGTTACAACGCAAAACATTTTTTGTCAACTATAGAACATGACTTATCATCAAATTAGACACACGCCACCGGAGACTTGAAAAATAAATAACCTTCGTTTCAAATGATGAATACAACTTTACAACTTTTTCATCTTCTTTGCCATTGTAAACTTCATGTGGCAAAATTTTTAGCTGTTCTGCGGGCTTTGACAACAAGGAGTGGTAATCCTAAAGAGTGCTTAATTAACATGAACAATATTCAATAAGCCTAGGACAAAATTTTATAACACTATTATTGATGAAAATTTTCTATCTTATCGAACACATTTGATTTATAATCCAAAACAAACACAAAAGGTGAATCGATGTCAAGAAAGGCTTAAATTGCAAAAAAAGCAGTTGCCTCTGAAATAATAACTGTTTTGCCGAAATCGACTGAACCATATATAACACTTTGTTCTTGTTCTCGCTCTAAAATACCCGGTATTATCGACTGCACGGTTACTCTGAAATCATTTAATCATGAGTAATATTTCAATAATCATGAAGATAAGATTATATTACATGAAATAGAACAAATGAAAACTTGGTGCCTTGATTAGTATGAGTCTAAGTACGAAAAGTGTAAAAGACGATAACGGAAATAACTATTGCTATGAAACTACAATCTCAAGGAGATACATTGCTACTGGTCATGCTGGTCATGCTTTGGTCATGTTTACGCTGGTCATCCTTTTTCTACAGTCATTTTATGAACACTAACATCATAAACAAATATCAAGTATTATTACAAATAAAAGAGTTACCGATATCCTTTATAATCAACAATGACCATACCCAAAGTAAAAAGTTTGGGACTATCAAGTTGAGCATACGCTCGGACACCTTGCAAATCATTTGATGTTGCAGCATGGGCTGCAGCATCCCCTCCTAATTCCTGAAATATATTCATCACAAATCTTCTCAAAAGTTATTTTACAATTTTGACATTATATACATGTATATATTTGAGAGTAATATATAATTACTAGTTAAATCAAATACTGTTTTAAAGATATTATTATGAGGCGATTATTTCCTAGTTTAATTAATAATATTCTGAGAGAAAGAGCTCATATGACGAGCTATCACTGAACTATCCCAAAAAATTTAAATATTTTGAAATGAAGATTTAAAGTACGTTTTTAGAAGACTATTATGTTTCAATGAAAATAATTAAATTTTTTAAAGAAACCAGAAAGTATTCAGCGACAAAATTATTAAACTGAGCTAACTTTGTAATGATCTTTAACATCAAATCCAAGTGAAAAGAATAAATTATTCCATATAAACATGTGCGTTCGTGGTTCATCGGCTGGGTTGATTGCAACAACGTTTCCATCAATAACTGCCATAGCTCCCAGAAAAACAATCATATTTAAGGGCAGAGGAGAAGCACCTTTCATGTTAATATTTCCTTCTCAATGACCATTTGTGTAAACTTTTCTAAGTCTTCATTCTCATGAAAAAAAATATTGGTGTATTCATATTAAGTGAAACAAAGTGTAATCACTTTAATCGCTGTTGAAACAAAATCGCTATGAATTTTGAATATGGCTCTTCCTCGAATCAATCGTTCAGCAAGCGTTCCACGAGGCAACTCGTGTGTTGTTTGCAATTCCTCGTTCCAGTCACGAATTTGCCCAGGAATATGATCTTCAAGACCGATTCTATGAGGTTGTGTGCAATCTTCTGCACGAATTCCATCCTCTGTTTGTTGAAAAGCCGGTGCTACCCACGAGTTGGTCTGAAAAAGTAAACGCAAACAGTTAACTGCATCAAAAAATGAAGAGAATACTTATTATAATTTTTATTTTAACTACTATAGCAATTTATTGCTGACGGAAGTGGTACACAAATGAGCAAGGAAATACATACTTTTGTGACAAAATATTAATGATTAGGATGATGTAGATTCTTATGCTTATCAGCAATACAGGAGTATCTAAGTATAAGTCAAATTTGTGTACTTGATAGGGTGTTGGTATTCGTTCAAAAATATGCTTCTCTGAACGTTTCTTTAAAATTAGTGACATCGCTCGTTTGAATGATATGCTGATTGAAGAAAGCAAATCCATCAACGAGTGATGAATGGTCTTATAAGATGGTGAAGGAGTTGGTTGAAAACCTGCTTCAGTGGTTGCATTTACGTAAAAACCTTTCGTACAGCAAGTGATATGATAACGCCGTCCTTCTCTCGTATCAACCGTCAAATACAACACATCACCCTATTTTATTATTGGACTCAATTAATGTCAACAATATATATGGAAAATATAAACAGCAGTCATGTGTAAAAAAAAACTTTTGAAATTAAAGGTCTTAATCTACACTCCTGAACAATTCCAGTAATAAAAACTTCATTTCAAAATACTCCTAAAATTAAACCTTTAATTTCCGATGCCCTGATGGTGGATTATATGGAGAAATTGCCAAACTTTTTAGTGCCAATACGGGTTCTTTTATAGTCGGTAATAATGGTACCAACGGTCGTTCCCTATATCCAGGCATGATATAATCTGGAGGCAAACATTCCAAAGATCTGGAAGTATTGCTAGACTTCATAGATTTGATTACAAATTTATAACTACGTTTTAACGCAGCTATTATATACATTTTTTACTATCTTGAATTTCAAACCAAAATTTAAAAAAAGCTTCATTATACGCTACCTCGTACTCTTATTTCCAGTATACTATGCTATTACTTCACTGAAATGCTTCTCAGTAGTTCCATTTCCTTTAAAAAAGTAGAATAAATATGTAATAAAAAACCTACTTATCCATATTTTTTTTACGATCACCTAATGTCATCGTAGCAAGGTATGACAACGATGCACCATCAGTACCAGTAATAGCATCGGTCATGTCCAGGCTACGGATTAGTTCACGAATATGCCTAACATGAATTCGAGCTTCCCTTGTCGTGTACGGCTCTAAAATGGTAAAAACAAGAGATTTTTTTTCTTCAAAATCTTTGATTACGAAAAATTTCCAATTTCATTGAAAAACATATTCAGTAAGAATCATTCCTTCACTATGTCTTTATATAAAAATTTAAATACCTAACTATACAAAAATAAATAAGAATCGATTATATTGTACACGTTACAAAAAAATGCGATAGAAATTGACAACTTCTATTTTAAATAAACTCGGAGGAGACTGATGATCTCATACCTTCAACAACTTTCAACACAGAGCCATCTTTGAGACCAGCAACATTCCGCAACTCGGTAAAATGATCAAGTGCAACATCGTTTAGTCGAAAGCTAAAACAAGTACGATGGCATGTTGCTTCTCGTTCCAGTAGAACCTGATGCAACTCTTGTACCATTTCACCTGAACTCACCTGCAAAACAGCATTAAATTTTCTGCATATAAAAAAATATTCTTCTGAATAACTAACATCGAAGATAATCACGCAATCTTTTGAGAGTTAATCATTTTGTGATAATTAACATCGTACGGATCAAAACATTAAAATTAAATACTGAATTTGCTTTCCAACAAAGACTATCTCCGTAATCTTACTTGCAAATCGAATGGTTCCGTGCCAGATGCGACAATTCGAATGCGAAACGTCGTTTCAGCATTATCAACCGACGACAATGCGATTTTGTCATTAGCCGGTTTAGTTGTTGCTAATGCTAATGCTGGTGGTACTGAAATAATGTAAATTTTTTGTTCAAGTTTTAAAAATGTATAACCAATGATGCTTACATACAAATCAGAAAAAAATTTTTTTCTCTGAACTAATTAAATATATGGAATTTTTTGACCTTTCGATTTTTAACAATTTTTTTAATCTAGAAGAACTTTCCATACTATTATTACACTCACACCAACTTTTTATACTCATTCTTTCAGTAATAAAGTGCAATATATTAAAAAGGATATACCAGGTGAAACAGCTCTTTCCTCATTGGGCGTTGGTGCTGAATCTGGTGATGATGTTTCATGGCCAGAATCGTTGGCAGAATTATGAGGCAAAACAGCAGATTCATTTCCAGACAATGCCTAAAAATTCCATATATCATTTAAAAAATGTGTTGTTACACGATAGAATAATATTATTGTATACAACAATCGTTTGGAGGTGAAATGACATGAAAAATTTTCCATCACTATTTCTTATCGAAAAATTAACCAGTTTGTTTTCTCATAATAAGTGAATTGAAATAACAGTCAGTGTGTACCATCATGTTTATCAACTTTTATGATTTTACGTATAAGTATTTTCATCAATGCAAAATTTACTATTTTCATCTGAAACACTATGAATTTGCAAAAATCTTATATTTCATTGAATGTCATCAATTCTTAATATTTAATCCATTACAAACTTCATGAAACAAACCACATTTTGGTTTAAATAAAAACTGAAAATAGAAGTTACACAGTAAATGCACTGAAATAAAATTTTTTTCCAGAACATTTAGAGAAGATAACGATAAGATCAAACCCACTAATTTTAATTTTTTAAATTTTCCAAATTTTTTGCTTTTTCACTTGTCTTCTGGGACTAACTTGACCAATGGAATAGATCTATATCAGTAAAAATATTTTAGCTTAAGTCCTAAGTATAAAAAATGTAGTACAGACAAAAATGGATAAGCAATTATAAATTTGCAAAGAAATCATATAAATACTACACATAATCACACCAACAAATAATTAAAAGGCTTAAATTATGAATTATTACGGAAGTTGTTACCTTGGCAGCTGAAGCAAGAACAGTCGCAGATGAACAGATAGATATGTCATCTTTATTCATTGTTTTGTGTTCTCCTGCAATCGTTATGATTATTTTTTCTTTCGAAACTTGATTCAGGTAACAATATCACATAGCAACGATAAAAATGAAAACCAAATCGTTTATCAAAAAATATGCAGAAAAAAAAATCGCATTTACTTAAAGCGTTAATAATCATTTAACTTTCAGTTATTTTCGAACATTTTATCTTCTAAATACACTGCTGATATGTTGTTAAACTACAATAAAATGAAATAAAAACGTATACACCCAAAAAAACTGGAAAAATTATTAAAAAGATTACATTTTTCAGTAAATAGAACTCATAAATATATAAATAATCTACAGAGCACGTAACTCTTACGTAACAAACAATCCCACCAAAACAGAAGTATGAATATTAATCTGTTGATTCTCAATGAAAATCGCATGTTTCTGATTAAGTATATATTTATGCAAAAAGAAAAAATTATAAGGCTGAAGCAAAACCATTACGCGTAGTATTAATTTTTATGCTTATTACATTTTAAAACCAGTAAAAGTTTATCTTTGACGCTTAATCTAATCATTTCAGGGATCATAAGTGCGAAAATGCTAAATCAAGCAATACCGAAATGAAGCAAGCGATACCTGTAAATGTGTCTTAAACTTGAGTAAATACCAAACATGTGTGATGTGTACAAAATTTAAAGCAAAAGGTGATGTCATCCAAGAATAGATAGTAAAAAATAGACGTGAAAAGGTTATATCCTTGCAATGGATGTATGTAATGGCGAATGCTAGTAGGGTGGGGAAAAGATGGGTGGTGCGCTATGACAAACAGACATACGTATATGCAAAACAGACAAATGTGTGCACTCAAATGCATACAGGCCCCCGCAAATGTGCAAGCTAAAAAACGTGAATAATCGAAAATTTGCATATTTATTTACGCGTAGGTCGTGTACCTGTAAATATAAATCTGCATACTTGTGATAAATTGACATATCTGCATTATTTCACATTTCATATATTACACGAATGATCAGTTAGATTCATTTGCACATTACAAATGTAAAAAAATTAGGGTAAAAAAAAAGAATGAACGTTTGTTTTACGAAGAAGAAGATTGATAAGTAGCAAGCAAACATACGTATACGCAACAACGGGTGAGCGTGCTCAGAATATCATACTCGACCTGCTTGTAATTCTTACCAATTCTGGAGAACGGTTTATTTGAGGAGAAAAAGATTTTTACAAACTTTCCTACTTCCAAATGTGATGTACGTATATGAGGGCAAATCTCCGTAATTCAGTGAAATATTCTCGATCACTCCCTTCCCACATAAAGGAGTGAAGGTCCATTTTCAAAATTCAAAACTGCACTACTCGTCTGGCCGCCAACAGATCTTACAATAACAGCAAATGCAAATTATCACAAAGCCCATTGCGAAATATTATGTTTGTAAGCGTTTAAATAAGGACGTACGCGTGCAGAAATGCATGTCTGTCTATGCGTGTTAGGACGTATAGGCATTTGATAGCAATTGTTAATTAAAAGCGAGATAAATAAGTATATTAAAGATACCAAAGATTTGACATTCACTCTCAAGAACGGCTGGCTATACATTTGCAGTAGGACGAAAACTACGCTTAGTGCCGGTGTCCAAAGGTAATATAATTACAGATGAGAAAGTATGAGCATACTGATTGCTGACCAAAGATATCTTTGATGAGGAAGAGACTGTCTAATCACTCCTAACAATCAATATTTCTAAAGTGCAATATGAGAGTCAGAGGTCAAGGGCAATGACTTCAACAATAATATTGAGAACAAATATATATACCAGCAATTTTTCGACACATTATACAATCAATAATTCAAGGTAAAAACTCGTAATGCAAAGAAAGTACAAAGCTTTTAATTTGTTTATTGTCTAAAAGTAATATATTAAAGATAACACAAAAAAATTTTGAAAATCACAATAAGACAATTAAAGATGCGAGTAGCATCCATCACAAAGGAGTTATACGTCACGTGCGTCTAAATGCATTTCAAATATCATATACGGACATAAATTACTCACAAATATACTTAAAAGCCAGAAAAATGTAATTTGCACAAATGTAATTTTGAGAGAGATTTCGTTTCGGCTTACGAGTGCTGTTGCTCCATAATACAAATGCAGTACTGAAGAAGCAAATATAGTGTGTAGCAGAAAAGAAGACAACTTCACTCAATTTACAAAGTCGGAAAAAAACTGCAATGCACAACATCAAATCCTGAATGATAAACTGATAATGCTAGTAGGCTCTTATAGAATTATTCAAATAAACCCATTAAAATCTGTATCAAGCAAATAAAGAGATAACTTATAAATAAGCATGCACACGTAAAAACGCATGAATAAAGCTAGACTGCGTAAAATACCCAAACTTACGCAGTTAATCCGTTTGAATAGATATGCAAAATACTGATAACTACTTTACGGAAATTGACAATATCTTTTATTTTTTATCCACTTATGATTGTTACATTGAATAACATTTTTTGAAGTGAGAATGAAGTTAAAAGTTGATTAAACAATTAAAACTTTGATCAACGAATTGCTTAACTTGGATACAAACTTTCTACTTATATATGAACATAATGATAATAATTAATTAAACTATAGATTTGTAACATCAAAATTAGTTACAGTACAATAGTGG